TGGAGTAAAAAAAAATCTCTTTCCATGCTTATTCCATTTTTCCTTCTTTTCCTATTACATGGACACTCATAGGGAAAAATCACAGATGTCACCAAACAGATGGCTTAGTGAAAATACAGCCTTATACATAGCTTTCTGCATACTGCTTCAGGTACCTACCTCAGCCCGTGGGGCAGCCATGCGGTCGAAGGTAGGCACTTGTGGTAAAATGCTTTTGCTGAGAAGAAAGGAGACAACAGGGAGGTATCAGAAAAAGGAGCCAATTAGCACAATCTGTACTTGCTCATCATCTAAGCCAACAGGCAGCAACATTTTCTGGCAGCCACCCAAAATGGCCCAGCTTGCATCTGAAGTCAGCCAGCGCTAGGACCCAGCCATCACTGCAAATCCTGCCACCTTTCCCATACCTCCACCACTGCCAAACACCACTGCAGCCCATCTCTACAGGCAGGTTGCTGACCCCTGCTCTGGGAGGCAATTCCATGTGATCTAGGCCACAAATCACCTTAGAAACATCAGAGAATTGGTGTACAACATGCAAGTCAAGAAACACGGATACAAGGATGTGACCCCACATCTCATTTCCCTGTATAGTAGCAATAAACTCTCCCTGGTAAAACCTTCTGCTGGGAACAGATGGGAATTCAAACTGCATATTCATAATCCTGGTCCTCCCTTATCCAATTTTGCTCAGCACTGCAATCACTCCCTTCAGAAGTTCCTCCATTTCTCCCTACCATAAGCAAGGAATTCAGTTGCATTGGGTGAGTCAAAGGACTAACACTTTGTTATCCTTGGGAAAATGGACTATTTTTAAGATAAATTCAATTTTGGTCTCTAAACATGGTGTGGATATGCACAGAATTCCCCCACAGCTGTCCTGTGGGGAGCAGACTTCAGTAGGATTGAGAAATGGTTTCCTAGTGCAGCTTCATAGGATAGCTCCCTGCTGAACTGAGGGGTGGGAAAAACTGAGCCTCCACATATATTTAGGATCTGATGCAGCTCTCATTGAAGTCAACAGCAAAACTTGCATTGACTTCAGTGATGCTGGATCAAGCTCTTCATCTTGCACTGTACGCCTCACGTACTGCTCCCTAATGGACAACACTGCAGAGGTAGGCAAGTGTTTACAAAAGGAATCTTACATATCTCTGGTATTCCCTTTACTTGGATGGAAAAAAGTGTGGATATTGCACAATTTCAAAGTACTGACGTTGAGAAATGTCCTATTTTCACAATAGAAAAGGACAAAATAGCAGGACCCAACCAACTCATTTGGGATGCACACTAGGAAACAGAAACACCAGTTTCCTCTCCCCATGGGGTTAACACCCACCCTCAAAGCAAATAACCAAAAGAAAACCCAGCAGACACTAACACTCTGCGAGTGCGCGGGCGGAGTCTTCGCAGCCTCTGAGGCATCTGTTCACAGTCAAAGGTTGACTGGTAGAAAAACAGCCGTACCTCTTCACCCAACACCACCCAGATGGGCAGGCTGAGAAGCTTCTGTAGCGGGAAAGCAAAGAATACAGAGTAACAAGTAGGCAAGAGATCTGCTCTCTGTAAATTTGCCTGGGCAAGGGAAATACCTCTCCAATCTACAGGCCCACAAATGATATTCTTCGCTGTCAGAAATCCCCTGCTAAGTGCAATGGGGTTGAGCAGCTCCCACTTTCTCTTCCATGGACTGCTGGACTTGGCTAAAGCATTGCTTCACACTTTGGCCTATGTGCCTGATTTACTACAGGAACTGTAAGTCTTTCCCTGTGTCCCACCACCACTATCGCAGTGATCCTGGAGGTAGTGGAAAGCACTAACCAGTGGAAGTCTTAGCCAATCAGCTGCTGCAGGCTCCAGTCAGTCATGGGTTTAATACCAGGGCCATAATTAACCTCCACACAAAAAAAAAATCTCTCCCCAGTGTCTTGGCATCGTGGAGAAGCAGAGTACAACAGAGAGACCAAGGTGCCCTGTGCTGGGGTAGAAGCATCTAATCAAGATGTTTTGGGTAGCGCCTATCTAAAGCAGCAGCTGAATATGCTCAGTGCAACCTCCCCCGCTTAAGATGAAGTTTACCTTCATGTAGGCATTGAGAATGGGGATCCTGCTCTCTGCAATCTCCCTTTTTGCTCCAACATAAACTTTTCCTGGAAAGCACAAAACCATTAACAGCCACTGAAGTAAAAATGGAGACTAGCATGAAAAGGAAGCAGCTTAGAGAAAGCAGAGTGCCTGAAGCATCCAAGAAAACAAGCATGGGCTACAGGATTTCAAAACTAGCCTTTCAGCATACAATGCTCCAAATTGCACCGGTGGGAACTCATCATTGGCTCCCACAGGCAACACTCCTCACTATAATGCACTCCACTATGTAAGCTTAAGGCTGAAAAAGCTAGGAATGATGTGTAAGGGGACAGGAACAGAGCTGGGTTTAGCAGTCTACCTGGCAGTATGGGAAGAGTGCAGCTAAGGCTGCCTTTTTTGCTCTCTGCCCCATATTTCTCCTCTAGCTTGGCATGGAGGGCAAAAAACTGGCGATAGCGACGGCAGATCAGGTACCTGCCCCCTCCTTTTGTCTTCACCTCAATGACAAACATCTGAAAGGGAAGAGGGAAGAGAGGCCAAGGGTTATATTCAGACTTAATAGAACCTACCAAAAAAAAAATCACCAAACGCACAGAGCAAAAACTTAGAGCCAACTTCTCAGTGTCTGTGACTCTTGTCTGGGCCCAGTGTAGAGGCAGTCTCAAATTAAGAAGCCAGCACATTCTGAATGCTATAAAATAATAGTAATAGCCCCAGGGTTTATTTTGCATATGTTCCCATGTTTCCTACAAGTTGAGTCACCATGTGTGCTTCCTTCTATATAATCTTGTGAACAGCAAACTTAAGAGGATCTCATGCTGCTCATATAACTTGTTTTCAGCAGACAACAAAACATATTACAACAGTTAAAGCCAACACTTACAAGCCTGGAGCCTTTGGCCACATAAATCCGTATTTAGGTGTCTAAATGAATGGCCTGGCTTTCAGAGGTGTTAAGCCTGCATAGCTTTGTAACTCCAGAAGCACAGGTTTGAAAACTGTAGCCTAGGGGACTTGCCCTCAGCCATGCAGCAAAGTGGATGCAGAGCCAGAAACAAATCCCAGGTCTCCTGACTCCAAGTGCTCTGCTTCAACCAACAAGCTATACTCCCTTCTAGTCCCCAAAAGATGGGTTTCCTGGGGTTAGAAAACACTCCCCACTGATTCCCATACATTGACCCCTTTGCCAAGCAAAAGCCAGGCATCACAAAGAGATTTAGCTAACAGCTTTTTGACACAGCTTCTAGACATTTAAAATTATATGCCACTCAGGTTTAAGCATATTGATAACATTTATTAAACTACATTAGGTAACATAATTCATGCTTTGCAGCTGTGCTAAGCCCTTGACCAAACACTTCACAGCAGCCCCTGTTGTTGTTACTTGTAATGCAGATTCGAAGAACTGGACTGTTCTCACCCACTGTCTGCCGCACATTTGCATTTTCACTAACTGCCATTCTTGCATACTGGCTCCTGGCATCTATCCCATTCAGGAAGAGTGCATAACAACTGCAGACATTTCCTCTTCCTGAAGAAGTGTTTGTTCCCAAAAGTTTGCAAAGAAGAATTATTTATTTATCTATTTTAGTTGGTCTAGTAAAAGATTTACCCAGAACCTGGTCTGCCTATGTCCTTAAACCAACATGGCTACAACCAACACCCTTGAAACATGGACTGTTCATGAGCTTTTAAACCATATTATTGTAAAAGCATGCTACATGTGTTGAGCAAGAGAAGAAGCAAAACTGACGTAGTCAGCACAATCCAACTCAGGAAGCCCCATAAGTGGTGACCCAAGTCTATCAGAAATAAGGAAGCCCCCCTTTTTAAAAGTGTTACATTGCATTTGAACAAGAGCCATGCAGCTGGCAGCCCACAGGCTGCATGCAACCCATGAGGGGTTAAGCTGTGGCCTCTAGACATCTGCCCAGCTGTCATTTCCCCTATTGCTTCAGCTGCAAGAGCAGCCAGAGTCTCCAGGCTCCCCTACTTCCTTTGGCCTTCGTGGTCTGCACAGCATGGTGCGGGGTGCTCAGTGTGGGGCTGGGCCTGCCACTATAATAGTGGGGGATGCCCACATGAGTCCTCACTGCAATGGGTTAGGGTGTCTATGTAGCATGCACCCCAGAAGCCCCATCCCGACTAAGGTGGCCTGTAGATATGCAGCCCTAGCTATTGCAGTTCACAGGAGATGTGGCCATCAGCTGTGTAGAAGCTGGACAGTCCTGATTTAACCAATACCTTCCAAGGGATTTTAAGAAACTGGTTTGCACTGGATTTCAGAAGCGCAGGGGGAAAACGGGTTTACCCAACTGTTTAGCCTTTTGTCTAGGAACAGTAACTAAAATTATAAAAATGAAAATAATACAGGTTAGCTCCCTCAACATAAACTCTGGTGAGAAAAGGAAACAGATTTCTGATGCACTGTCCATTGTGTTTTGCCATCCCAACTGGAAATAGGAAGAAAACACCCCTAAGTAAAGACTTTGGAAACTGGCAGTGCCAGAGGGCCCATTTCTGTTAGGCTTCACCCACTCATCTCTGTTAGGTTTCACCCTCTGAAGCTAGCTTGTCAGCCTGCACATGCAACAGACTCCTACCCATGCTAGAGGAAGACAAGCCCTACTTGGAGACTGGCGGGTTGACTGGAGGCAGAGCCCCATTTGGAGACTGGAAGCAGTCCAGGCCTAAAGGAATCAGGCCAAGCTACATCTGTTTCCCAGGACTAATGCTCAGCTAGTCACACCTGTGGGCACAGGGAGAATGAACTAAGTCTCCCCTCTTACATAGTAACTGGAAAAACCTCTCTTCTCTTCAATGTCTGCAATGTTTGCTGCAACAGGCACTTCATCTGGAAGCTGGTCAAAATCACTGAAAAGGCAAGAGAAAAAGGAAACATCAGATTACTGCAAGTAATGTTGGTCTTTGGCACAAATGACTACCCGTATTTGGAGTCCCACCTGCCATATAACCTCTGCCATTCACAGGCTAGTCCTGCTTCCCTCTTGGGCAGCAGAACAAGGATAGGGAGGTATCAATCATCTTGTTGCCAAACATCAGGTAGCACAAGACACAAGGGGCGCTTCTTCACGAGACACTTTACTATGCAGTACTGTAGTTTACAGCACAGTAAGTATGCACATCTACATGTGCACACTTACACATGTACAAGTTGGGCACAAATTGTGAAGCATAAATCCACTTTGCCTCTGTTGCATGTTATATCAGAGCTCTACCTACATCCATTCAAAAGCAGAAGCACTGAGGAAAGATGTAAAAGAGCAGTGGAAATGTGAAGGTTTCCAGTTCCAGAGAAAGTTTCATGAAGAAAAATCAGTGTGAAAAACATAACAGCTTCTCACTCTACAAAGAGTAGGATGCTAGGCTAAGTTGGCCCTTCCTTCAATAAGGATGGGTGGAGTGAGTGGGGCACAAGCCCCAGGCACTGGCTAAAGGTGGGGGGGGCACAAGGAAGCAGAGGGGTGCTTCATTCTGTTGTCCACCCCCCACATCCCTGCCCCTTAGACACACACACACACACACACACACACACAGGCAAGCCAGAAGCATGAATCAGTAAGTGCAGGGCATTCTGGGAAATGGAGTTCTACCAGGCAGCAGCTCCTGGCTTTTGCTACGGCTGGAGGGAGATTTCATCTTTTTTTTCCCCCTCACTTGACATGGGCATGGGGGTGGGGGATGGTCAGGTGATATCCTTCCTCAGCAGCAGTGAACTTGTATCCGGCAGAGCCTCCAGAGCCAGTAAAGGTACAGGGAGAGAGGTAGGGTGGACTGCTCTGGGCATGGCTCTAACCAGTTACACCTCTGTTCATCACCAAGTTCCAGAAAAGCACTGTGGTGATGGAAAGCACCTACAACTTGCTCAGCTGGAAGAATGGAGTTGGTCCCACCCCAAACATGAGTCACCACTACTTGCTGTGGAGAGGATGCAGTTAAGGTCAGCATAGGATGCATCAAGTCTCTCACAAATCAGCTTCACTTACCAGGAGCTTATGGGGCACTGGCCGCAGTTTAAAGTGACCATCCTTTCCTGGAACTACAATGAGGACAGGGATACAAGCCACCACTGCCCTCCCTTTCGCAGAGGTCATAACAAAGGAGGGTGGAAAGGTTCACTCCTATTTAAAAATAGACCCACTACATACAAAGGAAGCCAACTATGCTATACCACGTAGAAAAGTTCTCTGTCAGCCCTTTCAAGGAGGCCTGCAACCAGAGAAATAGGAAGGAACAGTGGTTACGCAGACAAGTTTGTGGACTTACCTCTTATCTCGTAGCTGTTGTGGAACAGACATTTCTTCAGCTCTTTGGAGCCTGGGGATAACTGATAAATGAGCCACAGAAAGAAAACACAGGAGACTGGGGGTGTTCACAATCACACCCTGCTGCTTCTTGAATCAGTCTTTACTCAGAGTTCTCCACAGGGCCTCAGAAATCTAGCCCTTGCTTAGTGTTTCGGTGTCAGGCTTTCTTTCCCCCGTGCTTCTCCTCCCACGCTAGATTGAGGAAGTGCTATTGAAAGAGCCAGAACCAAGGCAGGTTTGTGCTCATTGCAAGAGTTACTGTTGTAGAAGCCTCCTCCCACCCGTATTTGAGAAGTGAAAGCCAATGTGGAAGCAAAAAGTGTCCCTGGCTCTCCAGGCCCAGCATTTGCAAACACATTTGCCCTTGCTCAAAGTGAGTGCGACACACTACCAGATCAGAATGGCAGTGCTTGACACACATTTTGCACTGGTGCCTGTGACTTCACAAGGCAGTAGAAAATCAGGCCCAACAAAAGCACCAGATTAAAGGTGACAGGGAATGTGCAGGCACTGAATTTCAAGGACCTGCAAAAAAAGAATCCCATTCCCCCTGCCTCCTGCCCTGAATAATGACACATGGCACCCAGAAAACATAGCTGGCCTGAGGTTTTGTGGAGTTCTATGTACAATTATATAGGAGGGACCCAATCCAGCGTCTTCTCAGATCATGATCTAGGGCCCCATCACCAGACACCCCTGCATACTCATAACCCTGTTCCTCTTCCTTCCAAATGAGGCTCTGTGGCTCTTGGAGACTCTCTCATATGGAGCAGGAGCCAGGAGATGGAGCCAAAGCACAGCTTTCCAACTGGGGAGTAGAAGAAGCTGTTAGGAAATGCAACCCTGCCATAGACTGTGGCCACCGGAGTCAAACAGGACCATGCACAGGGGCTCAGGGACAGGGCTCTGGAGCATGGATCAGTGCAAGTAGGATGTGGGACTCCTAGAAGAACAGGGATCTTTAAAGCTGCATTAGCCTAAAGCAGCAATTCCTGATGAAATGCCTATAAACCAAGCATTCTTTATCTGCCCAATCTATAAAGATAGGCTAATAATTCATGTCACCAAAAAAGGGCCCTACCTGCTCCACAAAGGATCCTGTGCACAAAGGATAACAACATGTCATTGTTAGAGTATGAATTACAGATGATTTAAAGAAGAGAGAGGGTGAGGGGTGGGGGAGAGAGAGAGAGGGAGAGAGGAGTGCCATTTGCTAGTGCTGTGGCCATGCTGCTGAATATCCTGGTTTTGTTCTAATCCAACACCTGAATCATGCAGCCTCTTTGCCTACTTTTTTCAAATACAGTCTCTCCTTTCCTTCCAAATTTGGTACACATTTGTCTCCTTTACATTCTTTTACAGTCAAATGGCAGAATGTTTGTAGCTTTAGTGGAACCAAAGCTGGTCAACAGTTTCCAAAGTAGAAACTTGCATAAAACATTGCTAGAAAAATACACTGCAAAGGAAGAACTCAGTACCCAGCTAATTTCTAGGGGCACGTGGAATACCATTACAAGGAGCCAGAGGTGATTTTACTGCATCTTGGTTAGAAGAAACTGTAGCCATTATAGATGGAGGTGTACCGATACATTGGTCCATATCGTATCAGCACTGATAAAAGGAAAATTGACATTATCAGCAACTGGCTTTTTCTGGCTGATGTGGCCAATAAAGTTGCCGATATGTGTACTGCATGCACACAGCCAGCCCAGCAGCTTGGAAAGCAGCATCCATCTGGTCAATCTGTTGGGGGGAAGGGGCAGGAGGAGGGATGGGGCATTGGGGTGCAGATTGAGACTCCTGTGGTGAGGGAGGAGGGGGGCTGAGGCAGAAGCAGAGGCAGGGGCAGGCACTGCCCAGCTGGGGTGAAGCAGGGTACAGGACAGAGCCATGAGCAGCTTGTCCAGGGATGTGGGGAATAGAGGTGGAGGGCAGTTCCTGCTGTTGTGTGCACCCCTGGGGGAAGCATGGGGGGCATGTGACCCCTGGAACTGTGCATGGGGTGAGGGTGGGCTGCCTGCTGGGGGCTGGGGGAGGTGCCAGTGCTCGGGGCGGGTGATGACAGTGCTAGGAGAGGGGCTTACGGGGGGCTGTAGCCCACCCTGTAGCCCCCTCTTTCCAGCACCACCACCACCAAGCATAAGCACAGCTCCGGCCCAGCCCAGCCTGCCTTCACCCCATGCACAGATCTGGGGGGCACACACCCCACCATGCCTCCCCTGGGGGGTGCATGCAGTGGTGGGAGCTGCCCCCCCTCCCCATGCCCCCTGGATGAGCCACTCATGGCTGTCCCACACCTCACCCTGACTGAGCAGCATGTGCCCATGTCCCTGCCCCAGTCCCCCTCCTCCCTCACTGCAGGGGCCTCGATCTGCACACCCCCATGCCCTTCCCCTTCCCCCGCCCCTTCCCCCAAAAGACTTACCAGCCAGATGCTGTTCTCCAAGCTACCAGACTGCATATTGACAATCGGGTCAGTATCGGCCAGTATGGCTTATTAATAATCAGCCTTCAGTATTGGTCCAAAATATCTTTATTGGTGCATCCCTAATTATAGATAGCTTTGGTTACCTATAATGGTTATTTGGTTACCAGATGCTCCTGCACATATTTCAATTTGAGGGCAACCTTTGAAGAATGTTGAGTATTCCCCCTACCTGGCTAGCCATCTTTCCCAAAATGCAGACAGGGATGACAATATTCAGCACTAGATAAAATCTACTGGTGCTCCCTTTAGATGTCTTTGAAATCATGTTCAATGATCATCACATCGGGGCCAAAACCAAACATCTAGTCTACCAAGCAGCTGTCATCCCTACCCAACTGTTGAGGTGTGAAACTTGGATGACACATACCAGAAATCTTGGAAACATTACCTTCAGCAATATCTTCAGAAAATCCTCCGTATCAATTCATAGATTCATAGATGTTAGGGTCGGAAGGGACCTCAATAGATCATCGAGTCCGACCCCCTGCATAT